ACACACACACACACACACACACACACACACCAAGTTTATTCGTAAATTATCCATCTGAAGTTTACAAAACTTATCCCCAAAGAAACAATGTAGTAAGTGGTAATTACATTGTTAAATGACGCTCTATCTTGGCAAAGTGGACTAAAGCAGAATGTAGTAGGCAATATACAGCAGATCCAGTCTTTTTTTAGAAACACGTACATGCTACTAGAAAACAAAATTTCAGTAGTAATTCTATTATGACTGGGTATCTAAAGAGTTTAGATGGTCATGCTTGGATGTCAATGCTTCCCAAAAGGTATAGACTGCTTTCTCTTCAGAACACTTGCCTCTAGAATCATTTTCACATATCTGCTATGAATACAATATAGAAGTTCACAAAAGAGAGTTGGAAATGTATAGCATATGTAGAGGTGGGTTTCCATGATATAACTCCTTTGAACAACTAACAGTTTAACAATATTAATAATAGTAAGAAGCTGGAACATGTTTTGTCGAAAGGGGGTAGAAATACAAGTTAAATAGTTTCTCTCATTTATGGTAGCTAAAATGTGCCCAATTGGATGTTATACAACTGGCTACAAATGAATTAACTGGAATATAGTAAGACTCTATGGAGAGCCAAAATAGTATAATTCTTTAAAAAGACTAAGTCAAAGGCCAATAAAATAAGTACCAGGAAATGAGTACTTGCAAGAGGGGAGAGTGGGGCCAGGGAGACAGGTAGAGCATGAAGGAGGAATGGGGGAGAATGCAGGCAAGAATTGACTAATATAAGGGGAGGGGTGGGTTGAAGGGGGTGGTGAGATGTTGAAGGGAAGATGCATTGTACACATAAGTGTCTTTGATAAATGGCCAAAAAATTCAATACATAACCTAAACATTAGGAAAAGTGACGGAAGGGAGGGATAGGGAGGGGTGAGTGAGAATGTTGAAAAGGGTGACATTGATCAAGAAAGCACTATATCAGTAACCTGTTTTGTTGAATGACAACTCCTCTGTACAACTACTTAAAGATATAAGTATTTTTAAAAAAGAATATAAGAGGAGGGGGATGGGGGCAGATAAATGGAGAGAGGAAGGGTGAGTGAATACAGCCATAATACTTGATGTACATATGTGAAAATGGAGACAGGAAACTTGAGGTGGATGAGGTTGGGATTAGATGGGGGAGAGGGGAGAAATATGTAGAGGTTGACAGTGATAGACATTGTGCACATAAATTGACATGTTGAATTGAAACCTCTTTGTACTATTACTTAGAGATAAGTTCCAGGGAAGAAATAAACGAAGATATAAATGAAGAAGGAGAAAGGAGAAATAAATAAAGCTATGCGAACCTTAGTAAGGAAGGCTGGCTTACTCAAAGCAGCATTATGCAGGGTCAGGAGTGGTGACAGAAAGAGGATCAGCAAGTGCAGCTTCTGAATGAGCATCCTCCAGACACAGGACAGACAGTAAGGATGAGTCAGTGTCTCACTTCCAAAATGTGGCTGAAATTACCATCCAGAGGGTTGTAAAAATCACCTAGGCTTGGGATTGAAGTATGGCATCTTTCTTTCCAAAATGAAGAGTTTATGTCATTAGCAAAAGTATGTTGTTTTGGAAATAGGAACAAGCTCCATCTGGCATAGTTAGTTCATTATTTTACAATAAAAAATAAATATGGGACTGATTTACATGAATGCGACTAAAGGGTCTACGTTGAATCACAGCACAGACTGCTTCCTGATTCTGTGCTGATAATCATTCTTTCCTTCATTCCTTAAACCAATACATGAATGTAGTCTATAAACCAGGTGGCAGTGGATACAACCAAGTTCTTGCCCTCATTCACTGAGCTGGCCCTGTAGTGTGGAAAACAGTCAACAGAGGATAGGACAGAATTTGTTATAGAACCATTTGTGAGATGTAAAAGAAAGACTCAACGATGACTTAGAGATTTTTAGTGAGATGCTAGAAATGATGAGATCAGATTGGATCTGGATTTTAAGGGGAAGGTCTGGGACTAGAAATACCCATATCCTCATTTAAAGCCACGAGAATGAAGGTGTCGTCTAGAGCACTGATCCCAGGTGGTGTGCCTAGGAATCCCCTAGACAGCCTAGGAGATCAGGATCCTCTCTGAGAGATTAAAACTCAGGAAGTCTAAAACAGCAGCCTGAACACGAAACACGAACTCAATAGAAGCTCTCTGTGGATGTGGGTGGTACTGAAATGAGTTCATTGCAGTAGTTTTGACCTGAATAGCAGATACGAGGAGAGAAGGACAGGTCTAGGAGCCTCAGGGCACCTCTCACACTATGAAATCAGAATGATGAGGTGAAAGCAACATATTTGACCAGTAAGAAAAGGCATAAGTCCTCTTGTACCATAGACTTCTGAGAGTGAGGGTCATGACCCAGAGTGTTAGAAGATGTCAGGGGTAATCATACAGACACAAAATCAATGTAAGCTCACTGGAAGCACCTAACTTTTAAACTGGAACAATCAAATAAAATTAAACTATGAAAGTAATGACCAGATCCTGGCATGGTGGTGGCTCAAGTCAGTGGTTTACTTTTTGTGCCAGTCCTAGAAGTTGAACTCAGAGTCTGGGCACTGTCCCTGAGCTATTTTTTCCCAAAATTAGCACTCTACCACTGCCTTTATAGTGGTTAACTGGAGACAGGAATCTCACAAACTTTCCTTTCCGAGCTGTCACTGTACTGTGATCCTCAGATCTCAGCCTCCTGAGGTTATGGACATGAACCACCTGTGCCTGGCTCAAGCCAGTCATCTTGACTACTTGGGAGGAAGTGATTGGAGAATTATAACTGGAAGTCAGCCCTGTGGGGAGTTGGAGCTGGGGGGGTGGGAGGGAGTTCGAAAGACTGCATCTCAACTAATTAAGCATACAGTGGCATACATCTGCTATCTCAGCTAAAGGGGAAGCACAAAGGCTGGATCACTGACCAGGCTAGCCCAGGCATAAAGAAAGATCTTACCATGGGAAGAACCAATACAACTAGGGAGTGATGCAGTGGCTCAAGTGGCAGAGTGCCTGCCTAGTAAGCACAAGGCTCCAAGTTCAACCCCCAGTACCAACAAAACAAAACAAAAGATCACAAATGTTATTGCAATAAGGCAGTTAGATAATTTAATTTCTAATGTTATAAAGTTTGTTAGACTTAAGTCTTCAAGTCTGTATTCAAATAAATATAGGATAAATAATAATTTTCAAAATAGCCCAAATCTTCCACCCTAAACTATACTTGTCCCCTTTCCCCACGACTTGTGGCTTCCCCATCATAGGGAGAGTTCTCTCCCAAGACCCCTTGCAACACCCTAGCATGATACCCTACAGGTCCAGAGGCCTAGGCACTGAACAGCCCCATTCAAGCTCAGTCACAGGCATGATAAATACTAACGATGTTTCAGGTAAGGATGAATAAATGGTCTCTTGAGAAGGAGAGTGAGGAAGGAATTGGAGTTCTTACCGGGCTGGGAATGGAATCAGGGTCCAGCTTCTTCTGGGGTTGTGGGGGTCCAGCCATCTGTGAGGGGCCTGTGGGGAAGCCTCCCAGGTAAGAGAGCTGTGCACCTGCCATTTGGGGGCCATAGTTGGCTGCTGCGGGGAGGGGGCGGAGGAGGGAAAAAAGTAAGAAGAAATGGTTATCAAATCCCAAGGTATGAGACTCATGCTGACAATACTGGCTGGTTAAACCATGATTTATTTTCATCCTAACAAATAAGACAAGAAGTGAAATGTGAATCAATTCAATTCTTTCCTTTGCACTTCCCTTGTTATTCAAAAACTACCTTTCCATACAAGTAAGTGACATACATGGGTTCAAAGCCAGCCTTCCAGTTCTGGCTCCTCTAGGTAAGCTAGGGCCTTCCTCTACCCACCTTCACCCCACCCCTTACCTTGCTGTGGAGGATAGCCAGCCCCTAGGGTCTGGCCTGGTGGAGGTGGAGGCTGGTACTGGGCACTCAGAGGCACAGGCCCAGGAAGCCCTTCCTGCCTGTGCGCAGTGGGAGGCAGAGGCGGGGCACCAGGCCCATTCAGCACAGTGGGGGGTGGTGGCAGGACCTGAGAGCCAGGCTGTAGAATGGATGGCTGTGGAGGTCGTGGGGGACCCTGGAATGTTGTGGCTGACAGAGGTCCAGGGGACCCCTGGCTGGGGGGAGTCATGCCTGATCCTGTGGAAAGAGAAGAACCACTCAAATCAATGCCTAATTTCTCAACTCTGATGCTTACTGAGTATTTGATTTCTAGGAAATGAACAAGAAGGCAGACATGCAAAACATTTTGTGTGTGTGTGTGTGTGTGTGTGTGTGTGTGTGTGTGAGATCATTTTGGTGTGTATGTGTCCCAGTACTGAGGCTTGAACTCAAGGCCTGGACACTGTCCCTTAGCTTTTTCATTCAAGGCTAGCATTCTAGCACTTGAGCTACACTTCCACTTCTGGCTTTTTACTGATTAATTGTAGTTATGAGTCTTATAGACTTTCTTGCCTGGGCCGGCTGAACTATGATCCTCAGATCTCAGTCTCCTAACTAGCTAGGATTATAGGTATAAGCCTCTGCCACCTGGCTACTTTTTTTTTGGGGGGGGGTCCAGTCATGGGGCCTGAACTCTGGGCCTGGGTGCTGTCCCCCTGCTCTTCAGCTCAAGGCTAGCACTCTACCACTTGAGCCACAGCGCCACTTCTAGCTTTTTTTTTCCTGCTTATGCGGTGTTGAGGAATCAAACCCTGGGCCTCAAGCGTGCAAGGCAAGTGCTCTACCACTGAGCCACCTTCCCAGCCCTGTTTGTTTTTGTTGTTGTTCTTCTTTTTGCTTTTGGCCACAAGTTGAAATTTTCACTCAGAATAAAATATGAATGTTATTTGTGGCATTTTATGCAAGTGGGAAAGTTTTTTAAATTTCTTTACTGAGATGAAGTAATTATATAAATTTCACCATATTGTGGGATAATGATACGTAGCTAAAGTCACAAACACACTTTAACCTTCACAAGGTGGAATTGTCATTATCATGGTCAATAAAGCTTGTAAACGCCACAAACTCTGACAATACAACTCTTCCTTCCAAGTCGGGTGGTATGTACATTTTTTCCTTTTGTTTAGTGTAAACTGTTCCCTCTTTCTCTCTCATTCCCTCCCTCTCATTGCTGCCCTTGAGTTGCTTAGCTCACTTTCATCAATGTCCAGTGCAGCTGATGGGCCCCTCTGGTGTATTTTTCACCTGTTTCCCTCTGATTCTGTGCTCTCCTCCTAGCTTCCTCAGATGCACATGTATATACCATATGTGGAGTCAAGAACATAGTCATCTAAAAACGATGTGACAAATTAAGAAAAGGTCCTTTGTTTCCTGAGTCCTGTTTACTTTGTCATATCTCATTGTGTTTTGAATTTAACATCCGCATATCAGGGAGACCATGTGACATTTGTCTCTATGATCTTGGCTTATTTCACTCAACGTGATTTATTCTAGTTCCATTTGCAAGTGGAATATTTAAAAAGCACCATTTTAGTCAAAGACAAATAGGGGAATTTTTAACTCAGCTGAATTAACTTTATATGATCTACATATTAGTTTAGTTGCCCAGGCCCAGAGTTCAAGCCCCATGACCGACCAAAAAATAAATAAATAAAATAAAATAAATATTAATTTAGTTATCTGTATCTAGCGCCATCTAGCACAAAATCTAGAAAGTAATACTATCACAAATTTTGTTCAAGGAACTTACACCTTACATCAGTTATTTGCATTCTGATCAATGAACTTTAGGAACATATGGAAGTCACTAGAAAAGATACGCTTTCCAATCCCATTAGAAATGGTTGGAAAACCAAGCTGTATTTCTTTCACTTGGATTAAGCAAAGTTGAGTTGTTCTTTTAAGCTTATCCATTTTGAAATCAGTAGAGTATAAAAATAGGTAGTACTTCAGGAGATTTTTATAATATTCCTAAAAATCTAAGGAAAAGAGCTGACTGAGGTTACACAGTGGATATTTCTAGGAAAATAGCTGACTCTGAGGTTATGCAGTGGAGATTTCTCTAATTCCTAGGAAAATAGCTTATTCTGAAGCTATGAAGTGGAGATTTCTCTGACTCCTACAATACAAAGCTTTGCTACTGATAACTGAGCTCAGCACTCAAACTATTCTTCTCTGCCTCAAGACCTCTGAGACTTGATTTTTCCCAAGCTGTAAACACAGAAGTAAAAAACACTCTGAAGCATATTTTCATTTTAGGGTAACTACAAGAAACAACACTTTCTTGAAACTATCCCTACATTTCTTAAAATAATTCCATTATTATGTACAGTTGTAAAACAAGCATGTTTTTATTCATTCTAGCACAGAATGTAAGGTATTCTAACAGTTCTTCAATTACCTTGAAGAAAGTGACCAGGAAAAGTTATTTACAGTCATGCATAATGCAACTCAGTTATATAAAAATGTCCATGGCTGGTCACTGGTGGCTCATGCCTGTAATCCTAGCAACTTGGAAGGGTAGGTCCCTAGGCAGGAAAGTCTGAGAGACTCATCTCCAATTAATCTCCAGAAAACCAGAAACAGTGCTGTGGCTCAAAGTGGTAAAGCACCAGAAGAGCACAGGGATAGTGCCCAGGCCCCAGGTTCAAGCCCCACAACTAACAAAAACAAATATCCAAAATGGCTGGGAGCCAGTGGCTCATGCCTGTAATCTTAGCTACACAGGAATCTGAGATCTGAGGATCACAGTTCAAAGCCAACCCAGGAAAGTCTGGGAGACTCTTATCTTCAATTAACTACCAAAAACCCAGAAGGGGAGCCATGGCTCAAGTGATAAAGCACTAACTTGAGCAAAAGAAGGAAGAGGACAGTGCCCAGGCACTGAGTTCAAGCCCCAGGACCAACAATGACAGTCCCCCACATATACACAAAATGTCTAAAACAGTCTCTCAACATGGCATCCCAGAGTTACATCTATTTGAAAAACAAAGAAAATCTTTCTTATTAAAAATAATCATAAGAAATAATGAAAGGGTGGCATTGGTCAAGACGCATGGTACTCATCAACTGACATGTTGAACTGAAACTCCTTTATACAACTACTTAAAGACAATTTAAAAAATAGTATCAAAGGAAAAAATACTCATAAGGTTTGGGATTACGTGTATATCAATGGGAGAATGCTTGTCTACCATGTATGAGGCCCTGGGTTTGAGATCAAATGTCTCTGCTTCTGTCTCTGTGTCTCTGTCTCTGTCTGTCTATCTGTCTGTCTGTCTCTCTCTTTCTCTCTCTCTCACACACACATACACACACATACAAAACCACTCATACACCAACAGCAATCACTGAACACTAACAATACAGTCATTACCATAGTTGTTGATCTGCATAGCACTGAGCTGAGTGCCTAGATGGGTGACAGACGAAGTGGCCTCAGGAGGCAGATAAGATGGCTGTGTGGAGGGCTGGTATGGTGCATAAGAAGGTGCCACATTGTTGACAGGTGGAGGGCCTGGAAATCTAAGAGAGATTAAGAAAGATGTGGGGAAAGAATATCATCAGATTTCTAAGGCAAATCACATACAATAAATGTCAGTAACTTATGAAACCAAAGAAGAACATTGTTATGGGGCATTCAGTACCACATGCCACATGTCTGATCTTGCTATGAGCTCAAAGTCATCATGGGACACCAACTGATATGTAGCTCATGCTCAGTATGTCAAGGTAGAAGGAAAAGAGAATTTCTGCTGTGAAACAGAGTTGGCTTTAGAAATCAATCTGAGCCCACCACAACTTTGTATATATAAAACATAATGACTGATAAAACAGACATCAAGAAAGCTAAATGCTGCCAGGCTCTCATACCTGTAATCTTAGCTACTAGAGGCTGAGATCTGGTGATCCCAATTCAAAGCTAGCCTAGACCAAAAAAAAGTCTATGAGACTCTTTATCTCCAGTTAACCAGCAAAAAGCCACAGAGGTATGGCTCAAGTGTCAGCACACTAGCTTTGAACAACAAACACACACACACACACACACACACACACACACACACACAAACCAAAGCTAGGTGTTGGTGGCTCACACCTGTAATCCTAGCTACTCAGAAGGCTGAGATCTGAGTATTACAGTTCAAAGCCAGTCTAGGCAGGAAAGTCCACGAGAATCTTATTTCCAAAAGTGGTAGTGTGTTAGCCTTGAGCAAAAGAGTCCAGGAACAGCATCTAGGCCTTGAGTTCAAGCCCTACAACTGATAACACACACACACACACACACACACACACACACACACACACACACACA